CCATTCAAATTGAGGGTGTTCTCTATGTTTAAGGATTAAAGCACAATCTTCTTAGCATAAGTCAACTTTGCGATAGAGGGTTCAAGATCAAATTCAACAAAGATGAATGCCTTATTATGGATGAGGCAACCAATGAGGTAAAACTCAAAGGTATAAGAACTAACAATATTTTTATGATTACTTTAGATGATTTGTCTTTGAAGGTATAATGTCTTATGGTAAACAACAATGACGCTTGGTTATGGCACAAGAGGATTGCTCACATTCACATGGAGCACTTGAACAAATTGGTTAAGCATGACTTAGTTATTGGTCTACCAAAGATGAAGTTCATCAAAGACAAATTATGTAATGCATGCCAAAAGGGCAAACAGACCAAAACAACTTTCAAATCTAAGAATGTGGTGTCTACTACAAGGCCACTACAATTGTTACACATGGATCTCTTTGGTCCATCAAGAACAAAAAGCTTCGAAAAGAACTTGGTATTTTGGATGAAGGTGATATCTAATGTTTCTCTTAAGATGCACGTCTTAATTCTTTTATATGTATTTATTTCACTCTTTTTCCCCATCCTTTTTGATGTTAACAAAGGGGGAGAAGAATATGCATATGTGTTGTTTTGTTTCAACGAAATTGCAGGCCCAAATATCTATTATACTCACTCCAAAATTCAAGGAATCATGGACTTAGGGGGAGCATACAATTTAGGGGGAGCCTTGCATTTGCTCAACATGTTTGCTACACAAAACAACATAAAACATTTCAAGAATTGTTTTCAAGACTTGGTTGTCATCATCAAAAAGGGGGAGAATGTAATTGCAAGCTTCTCAAGTCATATTTAAAGCATGTGTTTTGATGAAGACAACATGGACATCAACATTCAAAGGATGTGCAAAAAGCTTATCAACATCATATAAAAGTCTTGAAGATTATTGAAGAATTATTGAAGAATCATCAAATGTCAAATGGTATAAATAATTCTTAATCTTGAATATAGATGTTCACAAAAAATATGCATTCATCAACATATACATATCCCATAATTTTAACATCAAGAGAAACTTTGTTTGAAATATTTTTCAAAAAGTATTTTTGAAAATAACCCTTTAGGAACCGGTTCCTCCCTAACAGGGAACCGGGTTCCAGACTTTCTCAAAAAACATGTCTCTGGTTTTTGTACCAGGAACCGGGTTGTACCAATAGGGGAACCGGTTCTTGCGTGATATTTTTGAAATCTGACTTATAACGTTCTCTAAGAACCGGGTTCTGTCAGTGTCGGAACCGGTTCCTAGCGAACCAGTGCAGCTTTTCTTTTGTTTTTTAAACATTTTTCAAGTAGTATCTTTTCATGAATGCATTGCAACTTTTCATATGAATTGGCATGAATGAAGAGGTTCTTATGACTTTATAAAATGCAAATTTTCAGATTTAAAAACAAGAACACAATAACATTTTCATACAACAAAAAAACCTTCTTCAATAAACAATTTTCTCATTCATTCACATTTGAATTTATACTTTCATGTGTTCATAATTTTGTGAAACTTGCCATATACACTTTCATTATCATTACAAGTTTCATACATACATTGTGAACATTTATATACATTGTTTGAGAATTGTTTTTATCTTGAAGAAGAAGATCAATTGAAGATTGATAAAGCTCTCCATATACTTCAAATAAATCATTGTATTACTTAAAGAAATTATTCCCTTACTATCCAGGATTGTTGAAAGTAAGTGTTGTGATTTGAAGAGGATTGTTCTTCATTCACATTAGTGTTTGTTTGGTCTTAAAGGTGTTAAGAACCTTTGATCACCCTATAGGTTAGATAGTAAGCATAGGCTGTACAATCATTCTAACTATAGTGAAATCTCTTTCGTGTTGGAAAGGGGACTGGAGTACTCTCGGATTGTGAGGGGAACCAGGATATATCACTGTGTTCTTTACTTTTCCGCATTTATCACTTTCATCACCATAATCAGGAAAAGATAAAGATATAATCAAAACCTTCAAACACTTAACCAAAAATTACTACCAAGCATTCTCATAAAACCGAATAAATTTTTATAAGACCTAATTCACCCCCCCCCCCCTCTTAGGCATTCTGAGACTTACAATTGGCATCAGAGCAAGTTATAGGTAACTTGTTCCTAAAGATCCATAATGGCTTCCGTAAATCATCAACCAGTCTTCAGAGATGGTGGTAGTAACAACAAGCCTCCTCTATTCTGTGGTGAATATTTTGACTTCTGGAAAATACACATGAAGGCGCATTTAGAAGCGCAAGGAGAGGAAGTATGGGATGCTGTTGAAAATGGTCCATTTATCCCAATATCAGTAATCAATGGCATTGGTTCTGCAAAGCCCAAAACTGCATGGGACGACGATGATAAAAAGAAAGTTCTCTATGACAAAAAGGCAATAAACCTTCTTCAAGGTGCACTCAGTATGGACGAATTTTTCCGTGTCTCGAACTGCAAAACAGCAAAAGAAATATGGGATACCCTGGTTCAAACTCATGAAGGAACGACTGAAGTAAAAAGATCAAGGCTAAATACCTTGAGTCAAGAATATGAACTATTTCGAATGCAGCCCGGAGAATCCATTCTTGACTTACAAAAGAGATTTGTGCATTTGACAAATCACTTAAATGCTCTTGGTAAAACCTTGAAAAATGATGAACTCAACTTGAAAATCCTTAGATCATTGACTAGGGAATGGCAACCAAAGGTAACGGCAATCTCGGAAAAGAAGAGTCTCTCTGCAATGACTTCCGCTACATTATTTGGAAAACTTTAAGAATACGAAACGGAACTCGGTAGACTTGAAAAACATGAAAATTTAGAGAAGAAATCCAAAGGCATTGCTTTGAAAGTTGATTCAAAAGAAAGTCAAGATAAAGATGCATCGGAGGAAGATGAAAACTTCTTGCTTCTTGTAAAAAGGTTAGGAAAATATTTTGGTCATAAAAATAATCTTCATAATGCTAACTTTGTCAAAAGGAAGAAATTTTATAATCATAAAGATAAAGAATCCTCCACATCAACACAAGATGTCACATGTTATGAATGTGGAAAGCAAGGTCACATAAAGCCGGATTGTCCAAAACTCTCCAAGAAAAATGGATTCAAAGGCAAAAAGGAGTTCAAGAACAAAAAGGCTTATGTTGCATGGGAAGATAATGAGATAAGTTCTTCATCCGATTCGGAAAGCGACGAATGTGCAAATCTAGCATTAATGGCTTCACATCACTCCGACAATGAAGAAGAGGTTAGTAATGAATTTAATCTTTTTGATGATGATGTTCAAGATGCTATTGATTAACTCTTGAAAGAATGCAAAAGTTTATACAAAGAGGTGTCAAATCAAGAAAAAGAACTTCTAATTTGTTTAGAAAAAATTGACACCATGACTAAAGACTTTGATCTTCAAAAATAGAATTTTATTAAAGAAAAAGAAAACTTTGCATGCTCCAAGTGTGAATCAAATGTCTTTCAAATTGTTCAATTGAAAAGAGTCATTAAACGATATGAAAAAGGACAAATAGGATTGGAAGGATTACTAAGCCAACAACGTTATCCCACTAGTGCAGAAATGACTTTTTACATCGGGTGAAACTGACTTTTTACATCGGTTCTGGGTCCGATGTAAAGTCAGGCGATATAGTAAATCAGGTACTTTTTACATCAGTTTTGGGTCCGATGTAGAAAGTCCCTTTTTTACATCGGTTATAATATAAGAATGATGTAAGAAATAGTTATATCATTATTTTAAAAAAAAGTGACACAACTTTTTACATCGGTTGGGAGTAATAACCGATGTAAAAAATCCCTTTTTTACATCGGTTATAATATAAGAATGATGTAAGAAACAATTATATCATTATTTTAAAAAAAGTGACGCAACTTTTTACATCGGTTGGGAGTAATAACCGATGTAAAAAGTCCCTTTTTGAAATTTTTTACATCAGTTGGGAGTAATAACCGATGTAAAATGTATGAAATTTTTTTAGAATAAATTATTTATTTTCTGGATGTTTCCCTGTACAAAAATAATTTGTACCCATTTTTTCATATTTTTCCAATATCACACAGACTATATTTATGTCGCTATATAGATTTCATAGCTTTCCAACATCACATAGACCACATCTAGGTCGATGTTTTCATATTTTTCACAACTTACAAATTGAACAATTATATTGCAAACTTTTATTGTATCACAACAAACAAACTTACAACAAACTTACAATTACATACTCTTCACAAAATATACAAAAATATTCAACTATTTATAAGTCTTTTTCCAAACATGAATCACCAATATAAAATCCACAAGTAGATGAGTTATAGCTTCGGTAGACAACACCAAAATCACATTGCCTGACAATAAATAATAACAATTAACATCAGTAAAAAAAATCAAGAAACTCAATACATGTGCAAAAACCACATGTATTGTGCAAAAACTCAATAATAACAATTATGTGCAAAAACCACAACTTAGACAATTCTATAAAACTCACCAAGATAAACTTAATTTTTATATAACTCAAAGAAACATTTTGCCCAACGGAGTCTCAAATCATACAAATTATCTTGTGTTAATTTTGTTGGGTCATCAAATACCTATAATACATAAATATAACAATATAGAGTTATTTTTAAAAAATTCATATTAAGTCGAAAAACAAAAAGTAAACACAGAAAGATATTTATTGTTTCCTTATAACCAGAAAGATATTTATTATAACCATTACAAGAATTATTGTAACCATTACAAGAACTATCGTTTCCTTGTAAACACAGAAAGTCCACAAGAGTAGACATCACTTAGGATAGATATTGGTTCATCACCAAGAATTTTGTAAATAAAACAAATAAATATTGCTTCATCATTTAAAACATACCATTTTTTTCAAGCATGTGTGTTAGTATGATTCAATGTCAGAAAGTCCCTCATTTAATTATGGAATCGGATTTGTTAAAGTCCCTCATTTACTAGTATGAACATTGTCCAAATCAATAGTTTGAGGTGGATTTGTTATAGGCATCGGTAGATTATTTTGAGGCTGCAAATACATAATGGACACCAATCAATTACACCAAACTAATGTAATTAAAGGACATTAAAAACAATAATAATACCAAAACTTACTTGATTTTCGGCCATGGAAATGGAAAAGGATGCATCAGAACCATCTACTCCTTTGTCAGTAGTCATATTTGACTGTAACAATAGATAAAAGATCATTAATTAGTTTCAAAATCAAAAGGACTATCCCAAATTTCAAACTTATTTACATAGCTTTATTGTTATGGACTTATGACAAATTTATAGATAATAATAATGCCAATTGAAACCAACGTCTCTATTGTTTACACAGCTTCACGTTTAGCTTTAATGTTATCAACAATTCAACATCTTTATTCTCTAAAAGCATGAATATTAACAAATATGTCTCAATTGAAATCATTTCCTCATCACTATACTAAAAAGGAACAAAAGCTAACATACTACACAAGGTCTAAATGGAAACATACTTCTATTTAGGATCTAAATTTAGACAAGAGGAAGACAACCATAAAGCCTCATAGATTTATTTTCATGTAAGGTATATACATTTCCATGATAAAAAAGGTTTTTGCTTTGGCATAAACAATTGATATTATGAAATTTTATGGGGAAAATAATCTTATAGCAACAATCAAAACATTTCATAAAGTGTTGAGGAGATTAGATGACTATATAGAGCCAACAGCCTTTGAGCACCACGGTAAAATGTAAATGGAATTCATATTGTAAAAACAAAACAATTCCCTACATGAACCTTAATCTACACTCTCTACATTATAAACTTTAAGTAGTTCTAATATTAGCGAGGAATAATAAATATGAACAGATTGAGTACTACTGCATAATAGTTCTAAGTCCTCAGAAAATAGATATTCAAAACTGATAAATATAAGTCCATTAAAGTACAAGTGACAAGAGCATGGCAACAAAATTAAGAATTTGATACCTGTAATAAGCTGGGAACAAGTCCAGCATAGAGGGCTAAAACGCCTCCTTGTTCCACTATTTTGACAAAAGTTTCTAAAGAACTTAATTTAGTAGACTGGACTTACAATTGAAGCTGCCTTCTCACAACTTCGAACGGGTACGTAGCAGCTTCTGCACATGCACCAGCAATATCCCCATACAACAATGTCCTTACTGGCCCCAACTCAAGCTGATCAAAGGCACTCAGTTTCTGACCCTGTTTATTCAAATTCTGGGTTCTTTGCATTCCTTTGGGTGAATGCAGATAAGATGATTTTAGCATATCATATACACCATAAAAAACAGCACTAGAAGGAGCTATGCTTATAAGTGACGGTACTAAACCCTTGTATAGAGAAAAGATGCCTTCAGTTTGTATCATGTGTTGGAAAGCACCAATTACACCACCCAAAGTTTCACTGCCAGGTGCCACTATCTTGGTCAATCCACTATCATCACCACCAATTACCTCCCTAATCTCCTCCACAAGCTTTCTCTGTACATTCAGATACTTGACCAAATTCGCGATAATCCACTGCAAAGCCGTGGAAGTCGTGTCCGTGCCACCATTCAAAAACTCAGAACAAAGACTAACCATTTCATCTTCATTCAACTTGTGATTCTCCTCCTTTAACTCCAACTCCAAGAGAGTATCCGCATAAGAAACAACACTCTTACTTCCCTTATTTTGCTTCCTGGCTCTTATCAGCGGAAGTAAAACATCTTCCTGACCCTTACGCAACTTCAACAACTCCTCCCATCTTTTCCTGAGCAAAATCTTAGTAACTTGAGGCCAGAAATTCAATATATTGAATCTGCTCATACTCAACAGAAGCGTCCTTTGTACGCGTTCAATTTCATTAACTTTCTCATCGCTAACTCTTTCACCAAAACACATAAAAACAAGTAAACAGAACATTGCATAATGAAAGTGGGGAATAGCCATAAAGGATTCAGACTCCGAAGCCGTTTTGAGACGGTTGATGAGAGTGTCAAGGACCCAGTTCCGGATTTCTGAGAAAGATTTGACTTTCGCCGGATGGAGCATCTCGGAGGCCAGGTTACGGCGGAGGGTTCTCCATGTGGCACCATAAGAAGCGGAACTGATATTGTGCTGGTTGCTGGACATGAGCTTTTCGGTGGGAAGTGCTTTAGGGAGGTCGAAGAAGATTGACGAGTTATGAACGAGAGAGTGGTGAGCGAGAGAACGGTCGGCGATGAAAACGGAAGGTCGAGAACCGATTCTGAGAGCGATGATGGGACCGTGTTTGGCGTGAAGGGTTTTGAGAAAAGGTTCGAGTTGTGAGAAGGATTTTTAGAGCCATAGGAGGCTTGTGAGGATGGGGATGTGGAGTGGGCCGGGAGGGAGAGTTGCGGTTTTGGTGGTGGTCGTAAGGGTACCGAACGGAAATGGCGTATGCGGAAAGTGGAAACAGTGAAACGGAGGCAAGGTGAGTTTGTACAGTGGAACTATTGAAATATTATGAATTTGGGAAATAAGGGTTTGGGACATTTTACATCGGTGGAAATGAAAACCCGATGTAAGGGTTTGCATAGTAGAGAAGCTATTACATCGGTGGATCCTAATAACTGATGTAAGGGTTTTGAACATATTACATCGGTGGATACTAATACCCGATGCAAGCTTCTTTTTCTGACTTTTTTACATCGGTTTAAACTTTCTCCGATGTAATTGTTTTAATTTATTCTTTAATTTATTTTTTATATTAATATCTGCTGTGAAGATATTACATCGGTTTTTAGTTAACCGATGTAATATGTTGCTTGTTTTTTATCAATATTTCTACTACCTTGTTTCTTATTTACAAAAATGCCACCGTATATTTTTTTGAAAACTTTTTACATCGGTGGATGCGTTTGCCCGATGTAATAGGTAGCGAAATATATTTTTTTTCTTATTTTTTATATCATTGCAAATAAATACCTGATGTAAAAAGTTTGTTAATTGTATTTTTTACATCATATATTTTGATACCCGATGTAAAAACCTTTTCTCAAATGTCTTTTTTTTAGTAGTGTCCAAATGATAAAAGGGGTCTTGGTTATGTGAATTCTAAGAAACCAAGTAACAATCCCACTATTTTTGTAAAGGCTAGTAATAGTTGCAATCCCAAGAAAGTAGAAAAGAAGCAAGTTGTTCATAATCATCAAAAGAAAAAGGCTAATGTATCGAAAAAGAAAACATTCCCTAAGAAGAAATCTTATCCTTCTAGATATAGAAGTAACTTTGAACCTACTTGTTTTTATTGTGGTATTAAAGGCCATACACCTAATGCTTGCTATGTTAGAAACTTTAGTATAGCAAGTGGGCATTATGTGTGGGTGAAAAAGGGAACTAACTATGAAGGACCCAAGGCAACTTGGGTACCTAACAAAGAATAATTTGTTTGTGTAGGTATGCTTGAAATCCACATCAAATGTTTGGTATCTTGATAGTGGATGTTCAAAGCATATGACAGGAGATGTACACCAATTTTCATATCTAGTACATAAAGCCAAAGGGTATGTCACCTATGGAGACAACACCAAAGGAAAGATTCTTGGCGTTGGAATAGTTGGCACACCTCCATCCATTCAAATTGAGGGTGTTCTCTATGTTTAAGGATTAAAGCACAATCTTCTTAGCATAAGTCAACTTTGCGATAGAGGGTTCAAGATCAAATTCAACAAAGATGAATGCCTTATTATGGATGAGGCAACCAATGAGGTAAAACTCAAAGGTATAAGAACTAACAATATTTTTATGATTACTTTAGATGATTTGTCTCTGAAGGTACAATGTCTTATGGTAAACAACAATGACGCTTGGTTATGGCACAAGAGGATTGCTCACATTCACATGGAGCACTTGAACAAATTGGTTAAGCATGACTTAGTTACTGGTCTACCAAAGATGAAGTTCATCAAAGACAAATTATGTAATGCATGCCAAAAGGGCAAACAGACCAAAACAACTTTCAAATCTAAGAATGTGGTGTCTACTACAAGGCCACTACAATTGTTACACATGGATCTCTTTGGTCCATCAAGAACAAAAAGCTTCGAAAAGAACTTGGTATTTTGGATGAAGGTGATATCTAATGTTTCTCTTAAGATGCACGTCTTAATTCTTTTATATGTATTTATTTCACTCTTTTTCCCCATCCTTTTTGATGTTAACAAAGGGGGAGAAGAATATGCATATGTGTTGTTTTGTTTCAACGAAATTGCAGGCCCAAATATCTATTATACTCACTCTAAAATTCAAGGAATCATGGACTTAGGGGGAGCATACAATTTAGGGGGAGCCTTGCATTTGCTCAACATGTTTGCTACACAAAACAACATAAAACATTTCAAGAATTGTTTTCAAGACTTGGTTGTCATCATCAAAAAGGGGGAGAATGTAATTGCAAGCTTCTCAAGTCATATTTAAAGCATGTGTTTTGATGAAGACAACATGGACATCAACATTCAAAGGATGTGCAAAAAGCTTATCAACATCATATAAAAGTCTTGAAGATTATTGAAGAATTATTGAAGAATCATCAAATGTCAAATGGTATAAATAATTCTTAATCTTGAATATAGATGTTCACAAAAAATATGCATTCATCAACATATACATATCCCATAATTTTAACATCAAGAGAAACTTTGTTTGAAATATTTTTCAAAAAGTATTTTTGAAAATAACCCTTTAGGAACCGGTTCCTCCCTAACAGGGAACCGGGTTCCAGACTTTCTCAAAAAACATGTCCCTGGTTTTTGTACCAGGAATCGGGTTGTACCAATAGGGGAACCAGTTCCTGCGTGATATTTTTGAAATCTGACTTATAATGTTCTCTAAGAACCGGGTTCTGTCAGTGTCGGAACCGGTTCCTAGCGAACCAGTGCAGCTTTTATTTTGTTTTTTAAACATTTTTCAAGTAGTATCTTTTCATGAATGCATTGCAACTTTTCATATGAATTGGCATGAATGAAGAGGTTCTTATGACCTTATAAAATGCAGATTTTCAGATTTAAAAACAAGAACACAATAACATTTTCATACAACAAAAAAACCTTCTTCAATAAACAATTTTCTCATTCATTCACATTTGAATTTATACTTTCATGTGTTCATAATTTTGTGAAACTTGCCATATACACTTTCATTATCATTACAAGTTTCATACATACATTATGAACATTTATATACATTGTTTGAGAATTGTTTTTATCTTGAAGAAGAAGATCAATTGAAGATTGATAAAGCTCTCCATATACTTCAAATAAATCATTGTATTACTTAAAGAAATTATTCCCTTACTATCCAGGATTGTTGGAAGTAAGTGTTGTGATTTGAAGAGGATTGTTCTTCATTCACATTAGTGTTTGTTTGGTCTTAAAGGTGTTAAGAACCTTTGATCACCCTATAGGTTAGATAGCAAGCATAGGCTATACAATCATTCTAACTATAGTGAAATCTCTTTCGTGTTGGAAAGGGGACTAGAGTACTCTCGGATTGTGAGGGGAACCAGGATATATCACCGTGTTCTTTACTTTTCCGCATTTATCACTTTCATCACCATAATCAGGAAAAGATAAAGATATAATCAAAACCTTCAAATACTTAACCAAAAATTACTACCAAGCATTCTCATAAAACCAAATAAATTTTTATAAGACCTAATTCACCCCCCCCCCCCCCCTCTTAGGCACTCTGAGACTTACATAACGGACAAACGAAGCTCCTAAAATTCTATTTCTCTCAACAAAGAACAACATTCCCCAATGGAATCTTCCTAAACAACATGTATACAAGTTCTCGCTAAGGAATCTCTTATGCGATCGAAACTCCTTCGGATGACATCTTTAAGCCCATCTCCCATCATCAATCTCCAAATGGCATCTGTAAGCCCATTCCCGAAATCACAAGACAAGTACCACTTCATGCGAGTGCAAATTTCTGGGCACTCTAGTGTTCAATCATCTTCCACCTTCAGATCACGAAAGGCAGACAAGCCAATCTAAATCTTCAGGTTTAAGAAGATTGAACAGGGGAAGCTGTTGTACCCCAAAATTTTCCCTCCCATATTTCTCAAAACATTTCAAGAAAGATCCACAAGTTGCTCAAGGAAGTCCAAGGGTTGACCAAACAAGCTCCCTCCTAAGGCAGTCTATCTCAAAGTTAGGGTTTCATGTTGCATCAAGATAATTGAGTCCAAGGGATCCCAAATGATCACCATTATCCTAATATGTTCTCAAGATCATCCATTTCAAGTTTCAAGCCCTACAGAGAAAATTTGATCAGTCAATTGCTCAAAGGCCTGAAAATCGACTGTGCTAGAGCAAAAGTCAACTATGGCCTACATACAGTCAAACTTAAATATTTTTTGTCAACATCCCCATTTGAAGTATATTTCATCATTTGATCAAGGGTTGATCATGATTCATCAAGGATTGCTCACAATTCATAAAAACCAAATAGTTGCTAAATTAGGGTCTTGTAGGAAAAGTCAACTCAACTTTGACCAAGCATAACTTTCTCATACTTTATCAGAAATGACCCATCCAAATCTCATTTTGAAGAGGATGCCATGCTATACAATTCATCTTCAGCTCCCAAGTTCAAAATATGCACTCACAAGAAGTTATGAATTTGGACATTATAGGTCAGTTTGAAAAGTCAACAACACCTTTTTTGTCAAAGCTTCATACATGATCATGAAATATCAAATTGAGATGAGACCAAAAGGATTGCTTAGAGGACAAGTTAAGCTTTCTAAAAAGTCCAAGAACACCTTCAAAGAATCAAAATTGAGGAAGTTATGCATTGGTGAAGTTGACCTTTTTTGCAAAATTGCCAAAAGTCAACTATGCCTAAAACTTCAATTTTTGCCAAATGGGCCCAATCTTTTGCACTTGTATTGAGTTGGCAACATGGTCCACGAGCCCTATCCTTTGCCACTTGTCATTATCTTATTTATATTATTTATTTTGATTTTGATTTTAATTAAATCATTTTTAATCAAAACAAATCATATGAAATCCAAAACATTGAAATTTAAAGATTTTTTAAATGATTCAGGTCTTAATATCCAGCTAGCATCAAATCAAATTCGTGTAAAAGCATGGTGTGCAAAA